ATATTCTAAAATCTGTTTTTATTAAAATTACCCTATATAGAGACTAAAAAAAATATCTTAGTAATTTTTGCCATTGCTGAAATAAACTTATAATGGGCAAACCCTAATAATATTAGTAGTAGTAGTTATAAGAACTTAAAATAACTCCACACAAATATTTGTATAGCATATTCAACAGATAACATGTTAATATGGTAAAGCCATAAATTAGTGAATAATTAATTGAGCAAAGATACAGAAAGATGATGAAAATGACGACGAATTTAAAAAAAAAAATATTTCTAAAATGATTTAAGAGAATTTACATATATATAAAAATTATTTCTAAAAAAGAATTAATTAAATTCATATTTTACATTAGAGAGGTAAAACTTATAAATGAAAAATAATTGCGTCTTGTTGGGATAGAATTTAAATTATAAAGGACAAAGGTCAATACAAAAAATTATAATTGTTTGGTGAGAGAACAGAAGGTCATGTGTATAAAGGATAAAATACTTAAATCAATGAAATTGTGGCTATTAAAGAATACAAAAAAATAAATCAAAATGAATACAAAGCAATTTATAAAAAGAATTTCAGTCATATAATTAAAATCAAAGTAATAAATTAGATTGAATTCATTTCCAATAATTGTCTAAAAAATTGATTATCAAAGATTGAACTATGATCTAAAAAATTAATATTTTCTCCAAGTAATTTAATTAGATTATTATTTTTAGATGGTGTATGGTGTCGATCAACTTCATGAATTGGGATTATTTCATAGAGATTTGAAACCGAAAAACTTTGTATATTTTGAGAAACCTAACAATCAAAAAATTATTAAATTGAAAGACTTTGGTTTCGTAAAAGAAACTACTAATTAGAATTTAAAAACTGCTTTGTTGAAACACAATATTATATAGCACCTGAGGTGATAAATTCAACATTTTATGACAAATCAGTTGATATTTGGACTTTGGGAACAATTTGGTATGAAATGCTTACAAACTATTTTATGGTAATTTATATTGATAATCTTAGGTAATAGTTAATCCCAAATATTTGATTAAATATTACGTAGTAGTCAACTAAATTTAAATTAAAAAATTTAAAACAAACAAAATATTCAACAAAAAGAAAAAGATTTAATTAAAAAGATGCTTAAAAATATTCCTGACTAAAGAATAAAATTGAAAGAGATAATTGCAGCTTATATTTAAAACTATTAATAGCAATTCGTATACTTACTTATAGAAAAAAAAATATAGGAGTAAAGAGAAAGATTAAACAAGAATTAAAAATTAATATGGAAGAAGATTGTAAAAAAAGGTTGTTAGAGTTTGAATAAAAAAAGGATAGTGAAATGGAATAAATAAAAAGATTAATAGAAATGGATGAAGAAAAAGAGTTTCTTCGTTAATCATAAATGAAATAAGACAAAATAATAAAAAGCAAAATTAGACAGTCATGGTGAATGGGTTCAATCAGTATGCTTCTAACCAGATAGAACTACTTTATTATCTAGTAGTTGAGATAATTCAATCAGTATATGGGATGTAAAGACAGCATAATAAAATTAACCTGAAGATAATAAAAATAAAGATCTTGAAGTATAGATTAAATTACCCTTTGATCCATTTACTGAAGGTACTTTTTTTTAATTATTTTTAGGTATCCCTTACATTAATATCCTTCTTATTTCTGAATCCCGTATTTTCCAAGCAAAAGGAGCTCTGATTCGTAAATGAGAGTTTGTGAATCATTAAGGTTATGATTAAAAATCATTATTGTAATCAAAAGGTAGTTACTTTCTGGAAAGTTTGAAATAATTGAATAATTGATTATTACATAAAAATATAATTAACATTTTATAAAAACAATAATGCTCTTCAATTTAAATTCGATAAAATTTTCACATCTTGAAACTTAAGGAAAGATGATCATGAATTAGTAATAATGTGTATATAATTTTGAGATTGTAACTTCTTAATAAGGACAGAAAAGTATTAATTATTAATTAGTGCTCCAATCATCAATTTAGATGATCGCATTTAGGACCTTCTTAAAGGAGTAGTTTTTGATTTTCTTTTTAACCATACAGTTTTTGTAATTCAAGATAATCCCAACGCCATTTATTAAATTTTGTTACTCAAGAATTTCAATCAAGAAGACAATAAAAATATTGATATGAATAAACTAAATTCTTCTACTAATTTTTAACTTCTTGATATTTTCAACTCAATACATTCATATTAGCATCAACCAAACTTTATAAAATTTCAGCAACATAATCCAAAGAAACCAGAGAAATAAACTTAAACGGAGCATAATTTAGTGAGTCCAACAATTTAATCCTCTACTTCATGTTAAAGTAATTATTTTCTAAATCTTTAATTTATTCAAAATTTTGAATAAACAATTTAATATATTTTCCTACGAAAAATTCCTAAATAGATTTATGATTATAAGAAAACCCAGATTAAAGTTTTTCAAAATTGTTTTACTTAAGCTTGATTAATGCGCATTCAAAAAAATGTGGATTTTAATTAAAATACTCCTCAGATTTAAGGCATTTTAGTGGAAGTGTTGACATAAAAATTCTGACTTATTTAATTCAATCCAACATTACTCAAAAATATACTATGCTTCGTTGTTATCTTATTTTATAAATAACAAATATGCTAATTCATGTTTCAAAAAGGGAATTTTTTACATTTTCTGTAAAATAATTACTTCATATTAAGTAAAATAATATTATTGTATAAATAAAAATTTCAATTTTATTTTTTAAAGAAATGGATTTATTTATCCTTATGGAATTACTGAATGAGTTTTTTACATTTCAGTAACATCATTAAGTTTTATAATGCTTTGGATTTTTTTATAATAATCATCTAAACGATAATTAGTATAGAAATTTATATTTAATACAGCTTAATTTTGAATATAATATTATTGTTTTATATCTTGAATAAATGCATAATGTCAAGGTTTGTCATATTTCAATCAAGTTAATTCTTGCTCATGATTAAGATCTTTTAATATATGATATTCATTATATCTAAAAAGGTTCCGCTCTTTTTCATTAGTTTAAGGTATCTCTTTTACTGATTAAAACAATTTTTACATTTTTCAAAATATGATAAGTACTTTATTTGTATAAATATATATAATTTTAATTTTTTGCTATAATTTAATTATAAAAAATTGAAATTTACTTTTCAATAAATTTTTATCATCAAAAGCCTTTATTTATTAGCCATATAAGAACAAATGATGACTGTATATAAATCAATCAAGATCTCTGCATCTACAGTATTTAGAAGCAATACAAAGAAGACACATGTAGTTTAACATCTTTTAATAATAATTAATTTTCATTCCTCATAATATTTTCTAATTTAAATCTACTCTGAACCACTATCCCATGTAATTAAATACTCTCCATCGTCACTCATTACTCCATATAAAGTGCTTGTTCCAAAATAAATTGATTATTCAGTAATAAATTCTCCATTATATTTTTTCTTTATTAATTTGATATATTGACCACACTTACTTAAAAAGAGACATTTTTACATATATATTATTAAGGAAATAAACTTTTTCCATCTTATCCACATTTTACAGAAACATCTTAAGTTATACTGTATTATTCATTTATACTATACTTCTCAAAAACAGACATTTATTCTTTGCCACAAGGTTAGAATGTGAAAACATTATTATCTATAAAACATATTCTAGATCCACCATTCTTTTCAACTGTTATTTTTTATATTACAATCCATTCCTTATTTTATTGTGATTATTATATTATTAGTATCTATCTGTCAGAACTACATGACATAAGTCTATCTTATTATTTATTAAAACTTAATCCATATTCAGAAGCAGACTGATCTGTTTATTAACACAACCATCAATTGTTTTTCATCCAAAATTTAATAGTGGTGTCGTAACTACCTGACACTATTAAATCATCATTATTATTTAATACTAAGTATTAGATAAATCATTATGGCCATTTAATATCTAATAGGCAATCCATTAATTACTTTCATTTTTTTACCATATAATAATAGATTTATCTTAACTTCCTCTGAAATAAACTAATTCTACTTTCTCATAAAATTCAAAGTTAATACATCCTTCTTATGTTCACTTAAAATTTATATTTCATTCATTATTCCTAATTTAAAATCAAATACTTTAATTTATGACTAACATCCAGCCACCAATGTTGAAAAATCTTTATTGATAGCCTTTGCAAAACATGATTCATTTTATGTAACTGAATATTGGTCCAAAAGTTAATAATTGAAGGATTTCAAATTTTATTATGAGGGAATATTCTTATTATTTTTTTGTATACTTTCTGTCAAATTTTTTATTTTTTATCTAAATTATTTAATTCTTGATTTAGTTTGTTGAAAAATGAATTTGTAATTTTCATCCATTTCTATATTGAGCTTTCTTGAAATATTTAAACTATCTTATTTAGATCTAGATATGAAAACTCAAAAACGTTTGAATTTCTTCAATTAAGATAAAATTTATCCTCATTTTCTATTAAATTAAAACAAGTATCAAACTATTCATTTAAACCTTCAAACAAATCTCTAATAGTATTTTCAATCATTTCTTTTAAAGATTTGAATCTAACTTATAACTATTTAACTTATTAATTATTTCCAGTTACAAAGTTTAATTTATTAAGTTTCTGTTTGATCAAATCAGGAAATTTATTCACATATATTTAAATTTTTCATCATACCCATATTTCTCCAAACAAACTGGCAAAGCTTTCTTTGGCAGTTATGGGATTCAATACATATGAAAGTAATTTGACAAGATGGATGTAATTCGCAGAAACTCATTCAATTTAATTATTTATTAATTTATGAGATATTCTTTTTATATAAAGAATTTAAAATATCATTTATTCTATTTGAATAAAATGAAACAATTAAATCAGAAATTTATGTCAAAAGTGCATCTAAAAGTTAAGACTCTCAAAGTAAATATCAAACAAAAGACCTTTGATTGTTGGATTGATAATTTTATATTTTATTTGGAGGTTTTTAAACTAATGATGAGAATGCATAAAAAGTATTCAGAAATAGTAAACTATTTATGATCATTTTAGTGGATGTGGTTTGGTCACAGTAGATTAAAATACATTCAATAAAGAGGAAGTTTAATTTTATATCTTTATTCTATACAACTCACAGAATTCTTGGTGATTTGTATTAAGTAAACTTTAGTTTATTTTATCTGATGGATTAAATCTGGTCTTATGAAATTTTTATGGCGCAACTATTAAATTATAACAGAAATCATTCTAAATAGATCAGTGCATGATGTTAAAACTATTTAAAATTGATTTCCAAGTTTTTTATCCCTTCAAGTTATTTGACCATTAATTTACATAAATTTAAAGGATATTATAAAATCTAATGAAATTTAGCCTAATGTGCAATGATTTGTTTATAAAAATCTTAGGAATGATAAATTAGAGAATTAATAATTTTTAATTATTTCTCTAAATTAAATTTATAAAATTAAGTAAATTAATTCCTATCAGTAAAAATTAATTAACTAAATAATCCTTTAAATTGAGTATCATTTAATTGGTAATAGGTAGGAGCTAGTTCAATTAATTATTATTATTCAAATTATTTAATTAAATTAAAAAATTTTTATTGTAATTAATTAGTATTTTTGGACAATTTTTGCTGTATTAAAATTTTTCTTATTCATGATTATTTTTAATGCAATATCGCAAATAAAATTATTGAATGTATCTTATCTCTCACCATTTTATAATAAACTATTTATAAAAATTTAGGATTATCTAGAAAAAATTCTTAATTTTTCTTATTTGTATTTAATATATATATCTTCATTATTACTCAATAATTTTAAAATAAAAAAAATTAATCAACATAATTTATTTATAATACTTTCACACTTCATATTTAGTCTCCTTAAGTTTCTCATTCTTTTTTAAATCAAATTCAAACCATGCACCAACCTTTTTACCATTTTGGTATTCTCCAATATAAGTGATCTACATATCAACATAAAACCAATAACTCAGCTCCATCCATTTACCTATTTTAATTCCATCACCACTTTCATTATAATATCCATAACCACTAAAGTCGATTTATTTATTCATATTCCATACATCTAATGAAAATTTTCCTTTTTCCATTCTCTATACATAATATCCCATCTGCCAACTTTTCTATCATTCTTATATTCGCCATTGTAAGTGATTTCTTTAGAAAACAATTAATTTTTCTTAAATCCTTCACATAATTCAATCCAACTTCCAATTTTTATGCCATCACCTTCTTCATCATAGAATCCGCCCCCGCTTTGTTTATTATCAATATTATACATTTATTCATTCTTTTTTGTTACACAATCCTTATACCAAATATCCCATCTACCCACTTTTTTACCATTTTTATATACGCCACTATAAGAAACTTGCTCAAATTACTTAAATTAATCACTCAACTCAATCCATTTTCCAATCTTAAATCCGTCCCCTCCTTATGAATATAATCCACCTCCACTAAACATTTTATTTATTATCATGTTTACATTTTTTCAAATTTATTTATAATGTTATCTCTTTACCAAATATCCCATTTGCCAATTTTTTTTCCATTTTTATATTCTCCATTAAATGTAAGTTATAAATTCACAGTAAACTCAAAAATGACTTCAATCCACTTTCCATTCTTTATGCCATCTCCTGCAATAGAATACTACCCACCTCCACTAGTAATTTGCTTTATATGGATATTTTACATTTATTCCAAATTCATCCTCTTAAATAAAATATCCCATTTACCAATTTTTGAACCATTTTTATATCCTCCAATAAAAAAGAGTTATGAATAATCCCTAAAATAATCACAATACTCAATCCATTTCCCAATTTTCATTCCATTACCTATCTCATCGTATGATCCTCCTCCACTAAAATTTTACTTTATTTTCATTTCTTACATCTTAATGTTTCCAAACCAATTCCAATAAATATCCCAATTTCCAACTTTTTTATTATTTTTATATTCACCAATATAAGTGATTTACGAATGTATTTTAAATTCTTTACTCAATTCTGTCCATTTTCCAACCTTAATTTCATCATCTTCTTTATGATATGATCCACCTCCACTATAAATAAGATATTAAAATAATATTTACATTATTTGATATTTATCAACTTTTCTAAACAAAATATCCCATCTACCAACTTTTTTCCCTTTCGAATAAACACCATTATAAATGATTTATAAATCATCATAAAACTATTCATATTATTCAATCCATTTTCCAACTTTAATTTCATCATCTCCTTTATCAAGTAATCCACCACCTCTAAAACTTTAATTTTTTTATATACATCTATTTATTCTTATACAAAATATTCTAAAAACCTGCTCTTTTTCCATTTTTATATTCACCATTAAAAGTTATCTATGCTCCAATCCAAAATGTATGATTCAACTCAATCCACTTTCCTTTTTTAATCCCCTCACCATTTACATCATAAAATCCTCCACCACTATAAATTTACATTTATTTTAATTTTCTACATCAAGCAATTCTTATTTGTATCGCGATTGTTATACCAAATATTCCATCTACCAATTTTTATACCATTTTTATATTCTCCATAAATAGTGACTTATGAATCATACCAAAATCCATCACTCAATTCAATCCACTATCCTATCTTCAAATTATCGTTTTTAGAATAAAATCCACCACCGCTAAGGATTCATGTTATTAATTACATTTTTTGAAAATGTTCTTTATTCATTTATCTATATAAAGTTTCCCATCTATCAACTTTTTTACCATTCCTATATTCACCATTAGAAATGATTTATGATTAACTCCAAAATCCATCATTTAACTCAATCCAATGACCATTCTTTATGCAATTACCTAGTTCATCATATGATCCTCCACCGCTAAATATATAAGTTTATTTAATATTATACATCAATTCAAACTCTCCGTACAAAGTATCCCATCTACCAATCTTTTTACCATTTTTGTACTCACCATTAAAAATGACTTAAGATTTATCCCAAAATTCATCACTCAATTCTTTCCATTTACCATGCTTCTAACCTTTTTCATTGTATAGTCCACTACCACTAATTAATTTTATAAATAAATACATCTTTTTGTTCTCAAAAATAAATTCCCATAATCCCTTTTTTTTATCATTATAATATTCCCCAATTTCATATATTTTAGCTTGACTATAATTATGATAATAAATAACTTATAAACCTCGAATAATTGTAGATTAACTCCTTCCAAACACCTTATTTTAATCCATCATTAATGTATCCACCAACTCCTTTTAAAATTTCTCCACACCAAGTAGCACTCCATTTTACGGATTTTTTACTATTTTATCGATATTCGATAGACCATTGTAAATTTTTGATTTATTCTAGATTATTGAATAGGAAATGGCTTTTTAAATTCTCTTTTGAGTATTCTCTATTTAATAATTGAAATTTTGTTTACATTCTTAGAATTTCTCCATCAGATGCTGAGTAAATGATTTCATTATTTTTGTATATTGTAATTTGAATTTTCTCTTTAACTATTTGATATTTCTAATTATCCCATTTTTTCGATTGTTTCCATATTATTGTCTTTTAAAGAGCATGAAAATTTTTAATTTATGAATTCATATGGAAAAAATATTAATTCAAATATTTTATATGCATATAGTTATTTTATGATTTAATGAAATAAATTGAAAATTATAAAAAAACTAGAGCTTCAAAATAAAAAAAAATAAGAAAATTGAGGCAAAAATTTATTTAATTGATTAATATACTTAGAATGTAGATCTTTACACAATTTTTTTTCTTAAATCCATTTGAAAGAGAAATCCAAATCAAAAATTAAAGATTTGTATTCTTTTCATTTCGATAATGTTTACAAAATTAAGAAAGATACATAATTAAGTGAGAAAGTGAGAAAGAAAATCAATTTAAGTCTAATGAATAATTCTATTATTAGATTAAATGTAGAACAGGTAATCAATTAAAATTATTTTAAACATAAAATACACACTAATAGAAAAGTAAGAAAAATTCATCAATAAAAAATATTTAGAGACAAATAACAATTCTGTCAATTTTATTATGAAATGAGAAGGAAAAAATAATAACTGTTTTTCTTTTCAGGAATTTCTTTGGGAAGATCGAGAAATTTGAATCGGTTATATTATTTATTTTATTCTATTCTCTCCTTATGGTACTCTATTAGCATTTTGCACCTATGATAAGCCTATCCATTTATGCCGTGTTAAGACAGGATAATAAAAAGCTAAATTTTATGGTTATGAAGCTGCATAAATTCTGTATAATTTTAACCTAATGGTACNTTTTTTTTATCATTATAATATTCCCCAATTTCATATATTTTAGCTTGACTATAATTATGATAATAAATAACTTATAAACCTCGAATAATTGTAGATTAACTCCTTCCAAACACCTTATTTTAATCCATCATTAATGTATCCACCAACTCCTTTTAAAATTTCTCCACACCAAGTAGCACTCCATTTTACGGATTTTTTACTATTTTATCGATATTCGATAGACCATTGTAAATTTTTGATTTATTCTAGATTATTGAATAGGAAATGGCTTTTTAAATTCTCTTTTGAGTATTCTCTATTTAATAATTGAAATTTTGTTTACATTCTTAGAATTTCTCCATCAGATGCTGAGTAAATGATTTCATTATTTTTGTATATTGTAATTTGAATTTTCTCTTTAACTATTTGATATTTCTAATTATCCCATTTTTTCGATTGTTTCCATATTATTGTCTTTTAAAGAGCATGAAAATTTTTAATTTATGAATTCATATGGAAAAAATATTAATTCAAATATTTTATATGCATATAGTTATTTTATGATTTAATGAAATAAATTGAAAATTATAAAAAAACTAGAGCTTCAAAATAAAAAAAAATAAGAAAATTGAGGCAAAAATTTATTTAATTGATTAATATACTTAGAATGTAGATCTTTACACAATTTTTTTTCTTAAATCCATTTGAAAGAGAAATCCAAATCAAAAATTAAAGATTTGTATTCTTTTCATTTCGATAATGTTTACAAAATTAAGAAAGATACATAATTAAGTGAGAAAGTGAGAAAGAAAATCAATTTAAGTCTAATGAATAATTCTATTATTAGATTAAATGTAGAACAGGTAATCAATTAAAATTATTTTAAACATAAAATACACACTAATAGAAAAGTAAGAAAAATTCATCAATAAAAAATATTTAGAGACAAATAACAATTCTGTCAATTTTATTATGAAATGAGAAGGAAAAAATAATAACTGTTTTTCTTTTCAGGAATTTCTTTGGGAAGATCGAGAAATTTGAATCGGTTATATTATTTATTTTATTCTATTCTCTCCTTATGGTACTCTATTAGCATTTTGCACCTATGATAAGCCTATCCATTTATGCCGTGTTAAGACAGGATAATAAAAAGCTAAATTTTATGGTTATGAAGCTGCATAAATTCTGTATAATTTTAACCTAATGGTACTAAGTCTTGAAAACATTTTTTATGTCATTATTATAAACTTTAATGTGTTAGATTTAGTCTCTCCATAAAATAAATAATCTTAATATTTATGTTTGAATTGTTTAGTTGAAAAAATGAATAATATCTCTGAAATGGAAAAAAACATAAAAGAGAATTAAAGAATATAAGGAAAAAAAGATAATAAAAAAGTGAGGATAAAATCAAAATAAAGATTGATAATCTAAATTAATTTTCAAAATCTTCTAAATTTTATTATTGAAATGAATGTGATAAATATTTTCTGGTTTAGGTGTCAAATTGATTAATAAATATTTTGATACTCATCAATTCTTTAATATATTATTATAATAGATGTTAAGAGTAAAACCGAGAATTATGTATAAAAGTTCCATGCTTTTTATTTTCAAATTTCCATAAATAACAAGTAAATAGTAAAACATTAATTCATATTAAAATTGAATAAATACCTTGATTAACATTCTATTTAGAATTTAAGAGTATAAAACCTAAATATAAACTAGTCGATATTACCGATTCTCATTTTTATGAAACTAATTAAAAAATGAGGAAATTGCTTCCATTTACTTATCATAAACTTAAATCATAAATACTATCTGGATGTATAAAAAAAATATTGATTTTAAATTATTTTAAAATTTATCAATAACAAATCTTATAATAAAATATATTTATTATTAATTTTCCATTTGATGATGATAATACTTTTAGTGATCAGGGCGATTGGTACGTTTCCTAATCCTTAATTCAATAAAGAATTAGAAATTTCATTGTACCCAACAGTTGGAGAATTTTATCAATACAATTTGTTTTTAGAAAAAGACTCATAATTCATATGTGAAATTAATCCGAAAATTTAAAATATACAAGTAATCAATTAATGCGATAAAATATTCGAAAAAAAAGGAGATTGTAAAATGTTTAGTATATGATAATAGAATTTAAATCAATTTCATCAAATAATACACATTTTGGTACTTTGTCAAATGATAATGAAGTAATTATATATGAGTGGAAGAATTAAATGATTCAACAAGTTGGTTTGTCAACTATGAAAATTGATTCTTAATATAATTGTTTCAATATCAATTTATCTTTAGGTTTTACAATTTTGGTAGATTGCTATTACAACAATGAGTTCTTTTTATTTCAATTAATAGATGCATAAGCAATAGTTGCTTATTCAATAACATCTTCTTTACCAAATTAAACTAAAATATAATCAATAGTAAATAGTACAAATAATTTTATTGTATATGCATAATATTTTATGAAGTATTCAATACTTTCCCTATTTTCATCATAATTTTAAAATTTAAGTAGCATAAATAGGGAATTGATTGTCGATTTTGATATCCCCATTACAATAAGTCCAAATATTTATGCAATTACTTCCAATAAAATTTTCTAGTTATCAATATCTCCAGATTCTCAATTTTATTAAAAAAGTGAAAAATTGACCATCCCGGAAGATGATGGTAATTTTAAAACTATTAATGCTTTTTACAATCTATGGAGTTATTCTTAATGTGATCATCTATAGTTGTCATATTTGTTAAAATAAGAAATATGGACAGCTTAATACTAGGGATGTGAAAATTCTATATAAAAGATAAAAAAAGATCAGACTTTATATGGTCACCCCATTAAAGAAATACTCTAAAATGACTAATTTATAATATATTAATCCATCGATACAATATTTATTAACTAATCAAACGCATAATAAGAAGATTTTAAATATCATCTAAAAATTCAAAATAATTCCCTATTATATTTGAATTCTGATAATGAATTATTTGCATTTAATAAAGATATCATAGTTTATAAAATTGCATACTCAAATTTATAAATTAACTTAACAAACCAAGAAAATGTAGGATACAATTGTACTTTTTAACTTATATGTCAAAATTTAGGATTCAACCGTCTCATTTACAATTACTATAAATTTAATCTTTAAGTATTATCTTAGAATGATACAAATATATATGTAATGTTTCATTAAGATTTCAGATAGTATTAAACTTTGTTTGAATATAACACTATCACTTATTTTAATAGTTTTTCAGGGCAATTATTAAATTATACACAAAACTAAGATGAAGACTATTTTAAATGTTTATAAATAACTTTTTAAAAAGTTGGTGAAACTAATTAAAATTATTAATTGGTATCATTTCTTTCAATATATTAAATAAATTAAAATAATTAATAAATAAGATATCCTGAAGATTAAAAACAATTTTTAATAGGATATGATAATGAGACACTTAATCTATTTTCTTACATTTACTCGATCAAAAATCATTCATACCAATACTCTGAATCAATTTCAATTAACTTCTCTGAAAATGTAAGTTCTTTATAAGTGGCCTATAGTATTTATCCTCCAATAATCATAATTGGACTAGGTTCAAATGATACAATCTATTTATTTTAATTCTAGTATGAATAAAATCTTACAATTACTGAATCAAAAAATACTTTTGAAGAATCATTCTCAGATTTTTTAGTAACCTACAATAGTATCATACTTTTAATTCCGCATAAAAAAATTCAAATATTAACATTTAATTATATAAGTACCTTTACTTTAAATTAATAGTCAATAAATAAAATGTTTAAAAACATTTAGTTCAATCCTATATAAATAGTCATGAATATATAATAATAATCATCTTTTTTATACATAAATAATATTAATGAAGTCATCATAATATCAATTGATTAAAATAGTTTTCCAACACCAATTACAGTTATTTATGTCAATTTCAAAATCAAATAAATAAATTTAGTAAGCGAATAATTAATATTTTCATATCTATGTAATAATCGCAAGAATATTTGCTTTTAAGTTTGGAATGTGTAATATTTACCAAAATACTTTTATGTAATGAATCTACATTGTGTAAATTTTGATGTTAACATAAGAATATAATCTGATAACTCGTTCTTCTATATTACTTTTAGCAATTACACTGTTTATGTTTATAATCCTCATATTCCATATCATATGAGTTTATATTATGAATTACAATTAAGTTCTCAGATATAGAGTAGCGAGTAATTTTAACTTACAATAGAAAACTAAATTTTTAAAGATTCAATAATAATTTATAACAATAATTTGTATTTACTTCGTGATTTTTAATATGTAAATCTGACTTTTTAATAGTAAAACTAAGCCTTTAATAATTCTATTAATTACCCTTACTTTATTTATAACTATACTGTAACTTCAGCATTAAATGACACAGCCTTTTAGTAAACTCCAAATTAAAGTCTTACTTTCTATTCAAACTTAACAATAATATAGAACTTAACTAGTTTATTCGTCGATATAACCCCAAATAATCTAGTCCCTCAATCTAAAAATTTCACTTATCCAATGAATTTATTTCTTGATAGATAAATAGGATCATGTTAACTAAATAACCTGTATTAATAAAACAGGTATTGTAGTATAACTTAAATTTCAAATTAATCGAGTAGCATCCCGAATATTCATAATTACTATTTAATTACTTCATTAAATAACGAATTTTTTGCTTTACAGAATAACATTTCAATTTAAACTGTAAATAGTGATTTAACTAATAAATTTAATTTTACCTATTCAGATCAAAATTTTATTTAATGTTCATAAACAACATCATAAAATTACTCATTATATTCCCTTTGTTCAAATTAGACATCTGAATATTTACTTAACTTTACATTAAGTCCCCAAGGTGAAATAATTAATCTTAATATTACATAACTTCCTCAACTGTTTGAAGTTGTTTCAAAAATGAGCATCATTTTAAACTAAATTTTTATTCAAGGTATTTTACATAAATCATCATCATAATAATTGTATTGGTTTAACTAATCCAATAACACTTTTTAAAGTATATCTAATGGTAGTTTGGATTTCTCTGTAGAATAAATACAACAAAAGACATTTGATTATAATTAATCACAATAAATAATTATTTTCAATGTTTATCAATCCTAAGTAAATTATACACTTATGAGAATTGATGATTAAAGAATCCAATTACAAGAGGCTATTAATGTTAAACTCTATTATTGCAATCAATTATCAATTTGCTAAGTGGTTGAATCAGAAGGATATAACTAAGTTCTCATTATTTAAATATAGTATAGCCGTGCAATAATACTCATAACTACTAATTACTTAAGCTACATAACTATTATAAGAATTATTAAATATTAGATCTAGAGTGAAAATCAATTAGTAGGCAGGATTATGAGAAGTATTCCGAATTATGGTTCTTATGATAATAGAGTGAATTCTTTATATTAAAATGGGGTTTTATTACAACAATTTTATACAATTCTAAATAATTCTTCTTATATAATTGGAGCTTATTTTTTGAATAATCTTTTAATTGAAAATTTGTTAGAACCTATTTTGATGTATGGTTCGTTTAATGCTTCAAACTTGTCTTATGCAATGATTGTAAATTAAGAATATCAACATGCAACAACCCTTTTTTTTTTTAACTAATCTATATATAATTACTCTTTAAGTACCTGGAATGTATCCTGCCTTCTTTATAATGATATGATAAATGTTTCAATATTTTGTTAGAACAATTTTTCAAATGGTACATACTTTATTACATTTAATCTACCTCCAGATTTTCGAATTAACTTTGGCCCATCAGCATATGCTCTTTTTTCACTAATTTTTTTACTGCTCTTATATTTTTACATTAAATTTAAAGAAAAAACAAGGAATTTAGAGAATATTAATTCAGAAATAGAATTATGATAATATAAATCTGGCAAATATTCACAAAAATTCATAAAAATTATTAAAAACCTTAATTTAAGATAATTTAAAAATGATCTTCAGGTTAAACTCCTGGTTCTTACTAACCAAATATCTATGATCTCAGTTGATTTAATTCTTTCATGAAAATATTTTTTTCAGGTTTATGTAGTCTATCGAATTTTTAAATGCTCACATAATTTGTTGACATAGATTTTATATGTCTATCATAGATTATTCCTTGTTTTTTTAAGCTATCAAAATCTTCTGATAAACAAAGAAATTAGAAAGTTTAATAATGTTTGACTCTTTAAGTTTCTTAAATGGAAATGATTTAATTTTAATTTCTATTTTTACCTAAATTCCATTTAAAATATATATTTAATTACAAATTAAAGTTTATTATAACTTTGAAAATTTTTGGTCTCGTAATATAAGAAAGGTCTTTTACTCAATAATATTTTCTATACTGATTTTATAAATTCTTATAAAGTTTTATCAAATCCTTTATTTATTTCTAGCATACTTTTTCGTTATTTGCTCATCTATTTTGTTATTCTTTATACAGTTAGGTATCTTAAATCAAAAAAAATAGATGCATGCTTAAATATTTATGAATATTGATTATTCATTTTCTAAATCCTTAACTCCAAATAAATTTTGATATTTCTAAAATATATGAAATTGCTTTCAAAAAACAAATTTCTGCATTTTTGTTGATCTCTTATATATTTTTTTTTATCTAGATAATATATATATATTTATTTAATAAAATTTTGATCTAGGTAGTTTTATCAAAATCTTAATAATTATAAAATTATAAAAAGGATTAAAAATCATTAACTTTAATATTTAAATTTCTAGAATCTTTCACATCTATTTACAGATACTTATTGCAAAATATTTTTTTTTTTAACTCTAGCCTAAGATTTAATATTAGAGTTGTATCTACTCATATATTAAGTATAAATTATAATTTCTTAAAAATGGATTTGCATTAATTTTTTTTATGTATTTAATTTTCTAGTATTTTCACGACCTTTTTTTTACAAACATTTATCCAGCACGTTAAAAATAGAATTAGTATGATTGATCAAATTCTACTTTTTTATATTTCTCATGTTAATATAATGACTCATAATAGAATTTATTGATCGAAGAGATGAAATACTCTCCCCTAATATAAATTATTATGTATTGGTGAAAATAGGAATTATTTTTATGTATTGGTGAAAATAATTATTCCTATTATCACCAATACATAATAATTTATATTAGGGGAGAGTATTTCATCTCTTCTATCAATAAATTCTATTATGAGTCATTATATCAATTCTAGATGTTTTATTTTAAATAATAATGAAGTTTATCAATTATCAAACATTAAATTAAAATATTAATTTAAAATTTTGTTAAGGTTAATTGCCTTAGATTAAATATGAAATGAAAACTTGTTATCAGAGGAGCATTTTTCTGTTTTTATTAAAGAAGGAGTTTCTGATTGCTAATAATTTATAAATTCTGAATTGATAAATTCTATTAAGATATTTAATTATTAATAAGCCATTGAATTGTATAATTAATCCAGTATTAAATATAACTTTTTTGTATATCTTTTTAGTAAATGAATATTTTGAAGAGAATATACTTTTATTATCAGCAATTAAAAAAAGACTGTATTGCTAAACGTTTAAACGGCAATATTTTGAAAAGATTTTATAACTTTTTATTTTAAAAAAGAAATGATTATTATGATGAAGCCGATTTGATTATATTTTTGCAGGAAGAGTAATTTAAATAAGAGTGGTAATCAGCATTATACAAGATTTTAATTTTGACCTATATTTGAGCTCTCTATGATTCTATTTAACCAGACTCTTATATTTTAATAAATTAATGCAAAATTTAATTATTTAGAATTTTTTATGATGAATTTGCTTTACAATTTATCTTGATATGAAAATCGTTATTACAATGATATGTGCTGTCGAGTAATGTGAAAATTATTTATGAAATCCTCATATCTCATATTTTGATCATGCTTTAAAATTCAAGTCGCAACTTTGAAATGAAAAAATATATTTTAACTTCTAAAAATATAATTAAACCATCCCTGTAATTAATTTTTTAAATAAAAATTTAATTTCTTAAAAATTTCGACAATATGCTTTACAATAAACTTAATATTTCTTAATTTAAATATCTAACAAATCTATTTTCTTTTCATG